TTAGCCAAACAGGCTCTTACAAAGACGGCAGCGTCTCAGCGCGAGCATCTAAGCAGTCGCACTCTTAATGGTTTAAAATTATTTTATATATATTTATTTCATATTATATAAACTAATTGTTTGTTAAATAATTACGCATCTATTATGTGTCTGTTTGCTGTCTTATTAAGTGCCCCATGGCTCTCTCAAATTGCCAACGTTTTTCTCAGATTAAACAGTTCACTAAACTAATTAAAAGTAATTAACTGCTACTAATATTTCTTTTAATTAATAATTATAGTGCGTAATTAATTTAATTTCCCTAGCCAAGATCTCACTTTTCTAATTTAATAATATAGATTAATATTAACCTAACATACATAAACGCAAATTCCATGCAACTGCAGACACGTGCTTTGGCTAATCTATGAACTAACGTACGCGTGCATGTACTTAATACGTACAATGAACGGAGATTAATTAGTTAATAATTATTATAATACAATTACTGACGTCGAAATCAATTATTTATTATTTTATCATTAAAAAATGAAAATATCGTTATGTAGGCTAGTTCACGGAAAGAGCAACGACGTTAATTAAACCGTTAAATAATGAAAGCCAGTTGGCCTGACAAATGAATAATTAATTGAATTAGTATAATTATTAATTTTAATTATGAGTCAAAAATTAGTTTTTCTTTTTTTTATTTGTTTTGTGCATGTGTATACTGGTCTGCTAATGTAGATGCCACGCACGCTCATTAATTTATATTATCTTTATTCAGTATATATACATAATATAATATATTTAACTTATTATTTTGGAATAGCTAACTTTCAAGTGGGCCACCTATAATTTGGCCCATAAGTTATAGCCCACAATTAAAATAGTGGGCCAATGTACTAAAATTTTCAATTAGTTGTAATAGAAGAAAGAGGCCCATTATAATTTGTGATAGCAAATTAGATAATATTGTTTTATTCGAAAATGTGAAAATAATTGTAAAGCAAATTAATAAGTGTAAATTACGAAAAACCCCTGAACTTAGGTTACGTTACGCAAAGCACCCCCTACTATCTATAGTTATCAAAATCCCCCGACGTTTGTTTTCGTCTTCACCGACCCCCTTAGGTGTAATTTTTCACGGAATCTCTTTTAATTTAGTTAATATTTCCCAAAAAATGTCAATTTTACGTCTGCAAACATGTCATTTATGATTTATTTATGCTACAAAATTACCCATCCTCAAACAGATAACGATGTACTAAAATGTTGTGAATGTGCTATTTAAGAAGAAATAAAAATTTCGTGTAAAGCCCCTTAGGATACTTTTGCATTGAAAAAGTATCATAAAAAAATGTCACGTATGTAGTGTAGAATCGACATTTTTCGGGAAGTATTACTTGTAATAAAAAAAATTCCATGAAAAATCACGCCGTAAGGGCACCAGTGTTATATGGGGATCAATTAGTACGTTATTTATACATGTAGCGCTTTTTAAATCGAATTTGTGTGATCAATTAATAATTGTTGCCTACGTGCGAGTTTAAACAGGCAACTCAGATCGGAGTTGAGTTTGCATACAACTCGAAATCCTGTAAGCAATCTGAGTCATATCAGGCCTCGCTTCCGAGTTACAAACCAGAGCCATATTCGCCACCTCAATCAAAACCCTAAATTGCTCAACATTCACATCATTCTTCAAATTAGGGTCCAAAATCCCCATCAGAACCCCCAAATCGTCACTTCTGCGGCGCTCCTCCGTCCACTCCGCCAGGGTGAACGATCCCTGCAGCGATTTCAGCCCCGTGACTAGCTCCAGAATCAGCACCCCGTAGCTGTACACGTCGCTCTTCGGCGAGACGACGCCGGTGCTCAGGTAGCTCGTGTCGACGTACCCCAGCGATCCTTTGACGGCGATCGGCGTGTGCGAGCTCTGCGCGTCGCTCCCCAGCTTGCAGAGGCCGAAGTCCGCCAGCTTGGCGCGGCCGTCGTTGACCAGGAGGACGTTCGACGATTTGATGTCGCGGTGGATCACCGGCGGATCGGCGACGGAGTGGAGGTAGTCGAGTGCGTAGGCGATGTCGAGTGCGATGCTGAGGCGGTTGGACCAGGAGAGGGCGGCGCGTGTGCCCTCGCGCGTGTGCATACGCTCGAATAGGCTTCTGTTTGGTACGTATTCCAAAAGCAGAAGCTGTTCTCCTATTAAGATTGTATATCGATTATATAAACTGTTATTTGGTTAACTGGAATATTGAATTTTGTATGGAATTGCTTTCGAATTTCGATATAAATTTATTTGCTATGATATTAAAGAACAGAGCAGATCGTTTTCTGTTGTCGTCTCAGGCTTCGTAAACTGTATCGAATATTCGAAGAACGTATATAGCGAGGAAATTAATTACCTTTCTCGAGGCAGAATCCCATCAATCCGACCAAATTCGGATGTGAAATCCGTAAAAGGACCGAAACTTCATCTAGAAACATCTTTTGGCTGCCGCCTCTCTCTTCCAAGACACGTTTGACAGCTCCGAATCTTCCATCGCCGAGTTCGGCAAGATAAACGTACGAAGTTGCTCCAACTCCAATACGAATCCTAAAATCACTTGTGGCCACTTTTAGCTCCTCGAGTGAATATGTCCTAATTATCGAAGAAGAAGAACGGTTGATTATAGTATTGGGAATTGCCTGCGTTGGTTTTGCTTCTAATTTTGCAGGCTTTTGATGATCGGGTAATCGGTGGTCGCTTTGATCGGATACCTTGTTTGAAGATTTATGATCTTCTTGATTATTTTTCTCGAGGTACACGGCTAATTTTCTCAGGACGATGGTGAGAATTATAACTAGTGTTATTGCACCTGCAATCAAATAGCTTCTTCTGCTTGATGTTGAGAAACCAAGAAACCACATTTTTGCCTCATTTAGGTTTTTTTTTTTGAATCTTTAATTATGCACTTGGGATTTATTTTAAAAACCAAGAGCATAAGTTGAATATGGACAATATACTTTTCCTTATTTATTTATTTATTTGTTTATTTCCCCTCTTAATAAGGTTTAAGTAAAGGATTATGAATCAAGATTCATTGATTTGGATTTTTACAATTTTACAATTAGTGTCTTATGCATTAGAATAAGATGTGTATAAGTTGGTGGTTTTATGCTGAGTTTTATCCTTGCAAGTAATGGTAATTTGATAGTGAAACAGTTAGTGAAAAATCCAAGAGGTAAAGTTAGGGCTAGTGATTGGTCAATTTTCGCGGGGATAGCCTAAAATCGAGACCCGCCCGTTAAAAGTATCCAAAAATTCAGACTTGACCCAACCGCCTTCAGTCAAGATTCAGATCCGTCCCAACTCCCAAACCCATAACCATTTTTTACGGGATTTACATTTGAAATACCCGCCCTTAATTTGCGCCTCAATCTTATCTATTTTTGGATTTAATCTTTAGATGTACCCTAGTCAGCTCACCACCTACCGATCGACTACTTCATGCAAGCTCAAGAAGCGGACGTCTACTTCATGCGAGCTCTTCGCTTAACAGGCTTGTGTATCTTGGGTTTCTTTCTTAATGGGCTAGCAGCCGGAATTCCTCTTTTCATCCTCTAGACCCAACGGACTCGTTTTCAGCTTGTGGGCCCGACCGTGCCAAATTAGCCCCCATCGGGATGCTTTTGGGAGGACTAGACTCAAAATATAATCTTTTCTTTTAGTTCGGGACAAATGAAGGTGTCCCATTTTGACAGCTATTTTAAGTTTTATTTGATTTTTGTTAGGGGAAAATTGATTTAAAAATCCCCAAAATCAGCATATTCCCATGCACATGGTCCTCAACACTTTGACTTTTCTTATGACAACCTATCCATTAGTTGGTAAACTTGACTATTTTTCTTTTATCTCCAACAAAAAATCTAAAAAAACAAAATAAGAAATATAATGTCAGTAAAACAAAATTTGTTAATAAAAAATAAATTAATTATTGATTATTAAGTGAAGAGAAACTCATATTGTGTGAATAGTTAATTTATTGAAAAGGACATACCTATAGTGTTAGCTTAAATGTAATGAACCTCTATCAAAATCCTAATTTGACTCGTTATATTGATTATGTACATTCTGCACATTTTTGTCAACTTATAATAAGTTGTTAAAAAGAGTATATAAGTTCTTTGCAACTGTGATAATTTTTTTTTAAAAGATCTTAAAATTTTCAAAAAATAAACTGTTGAAGAGCTTTTAAATTCTCTTTTAAATAATACATTTTTATTTAAAATCTTAGAATGACTAAAAATGACTTACAAGCTCATTATCCAACAATTTAAAAATTAATTTTAAAAATAAGAGTAACAACGTATCACCTCTTAATACAGTTTATCACTAGGAAATTTAGTAGACTCTTCTTATTTAGACGAACAAAGTCTAAATACGTAAAAAAAAAAAAAACCGAATATAGCCTTTTTTTTTTTATAGAACATATATGAAATTCTCATAGTAACAATGTTATTCCTAAAAATCAAGATTTATATTAATTTATTTTAAATAAGAAAATAAATAAACTTAAATATTAGTGAAATAGTATAACCTACCCTTAAAAAATGACAATATAATAATTCAACCTATGGTCCACTTCCTTCCTACTATTCCCTCTACTGACTATTTTAAGCAATAAATGAATAAATTGTAATAATCAATTAATTTAATTTAACCATAAATTTAATTGGCAAATTCAGTCAGTGCCGGTGGCTGTTGACTTTTACGTTGGGCTTGGGCTTAGCAGCCCACCACTTGCTACTAAAGATTGTAACTTTTGGACAATTTTAACCTTATTATATAGCATCAATTTGAAATATTCACGATAATCAAATATTTTAAAAATAAATATAAATATGTGAATAAAATACTAAATTCGATTTAATAATTCAGCAAATAAAAAAAATAAAAAAATTAGATGTCTTTTTATAGAAAAAAGTATATCAATAGATCTACTTCTTTTATTTGTCATAATTAATAATTTAAAAATGAATAATCTTACATATAAAAGAAAGAAACGCTGGGCAACCCTAAAAACCCTAATGGTATTTCTGTAATTATTTTTTTTTAATATTTTTTCTCTACTAATTTCTAACTATTTATATTCAACAATTATCAATCTCCTATTTTTTAATATAATTTGTTAAACGTTAATCTATATATTTGGATTATAATTATTAATATATAAGATTTAAAAAAGAAAAAAAAAACTAATGTTATATAAAATATGAATAATACTACATTATTAAATTTTACTATGTTAGTGTACTATATTTTCTTATTATGTATTAAATTGATTTTCTTTTTTCACTTTTAATTTTTTTTTTCACTTTTAAAATAATATCCCGTGCATCGCACGGGAGAAAAAATACTAGTTAACATATAACAGAGAAATTACAATTAATTTAAAACTAATAATAAACTAATAAATATAAATAAAATATAAAATGTAATAAATGTACAACATCTTCCTCCAACAATGGATCTTCTGTACAAAGACCCCTTCTTCCTTCTCAAGAAGAAAGGGTAAATCCAACACAGCAAAATTTGACCCTAAAATTGCTAATTACCCAACAATTACAGCTAAAACCCTTATTCTCTCTCCGATCAAATTCCGGCTGAAATTCCGGCCACTTCGTTTCAGTTTCGACCGGAGACCCCCGCCATGATCACAACGAGAAAGAGTTTACGATGAAAATTAATTGATGTTTGCAGACTGATTCGGACTCCAATTTCATTTTTTCCGACTCCTTTTTGGAGTTCATCGGAAAAATCAATGGCCGGGAACAATGCGTTGAAGGAGGTGACAACTTCCAGACCGTTGTTCTTGACGATCTACGCCACCGTGATTGTCGGAATCTTAGTGTCTTCCTTTTACGTATTTTCCGCCGTCTTCTCCGGTTCGAATTCCGTCTCTTCTCCGTGGTTCTCCAGTTTATCTCCCGCCGGCGACGTCGTTAGAGGTCAGTACATTTTAGGGTTTATTTAATTTGTGGATTAGTCGAAGTTCAATTTTGACTGTGAATCCGTGTGTGTATATGTATTCGAACAAGCATCTATTGAATGAATATTGGTTTTTGATGTGTGATTAGTTGTTCTGGTTAATGAAATTTAATTGTAAATTTGAAGGAGGGATTTATTGTGTGTGAATGGATGATTTATTGTGAGGACAATGCATTATAAGTCAAAGCACTTCTATTGGTTGATCTCTCAGTTTCTGATCTCGAGATTTTCGAATTATAACTCGGAGGAAAGCATTTAATCGAGTTCGCAATTGATCTCACAATTTAAGCAAATGAAATTTTAGTTCCTTGAACTTTTATGAAACATTTAATTTATGGTGTTTGATTGTCTTTATGTTCATTTAGTGTGGCTCGTTAGCCGTCATTATTATGATCGGTAGTTTGAGAAACCCGCGTAAAATAAGACTCGAGTTAGCAATTGTCTCGACGATAGGGTTAATTAGTAGTACTTTTTAAGCATAAATCTGTTTCTTGAATCTATATTTTGAACATATGTTTCGATCCATGCTGTAAGATTATTTCGTTGTTGTATGCAAGTACGTATGCGGTCCTTCAAATTAATCAAATGTTGTTTGTTAGTCTTGATCGAAGCAGCCAGTTTCTGATATTGTTTTTCAATTTCATTTATTACGTGCGACAAAATAGTTTCTGTTATTTCGATTTTTCGATAACAAGGGTGGATATAAAATCAATTCATGCCTCATTTATTTGTATCTCTTCTCTTAACTTTTTTGTCGCTTTTATATTATTGAAGCAAGTTCACCGTCCTTCAATGGCGCATCTAATTCTTCTCACGAAGTAGTAATTGGCTCAGCGCCAAATTTACCATCACGGCCTAAAAAAACACCTTTGAGTCCGATTTGGAAAGCACCTCCACCTGGTTCCGAAATGCCGCCATTAGAGACTTTTCGACTGACAAAGGAACTTGTTCAGCAAAGGGTGAAGGACAATGTTATAATCGTGACATTTGGTAACTTCGCTTTCATGGATTTCATTTTGACTTGGGTCAAACATTTGTCAGATATGGGCGTCGAAAACTTTCTTGTCGGTAAGTATTTATATACTTTTTCCCTTTTCCGTGGAATTTATTACATTCTCATGTGCTAAACAAAAAAGATTCTCTCTCATCTATCTCTCTCTATCTCTCTCAGGTGCAATGGACACCAAACTTGTGGAGGCTCTTTATTGGAAGGGCGTTCCGGTTTTTGACATGGGCAGTCATATGAGCACAATAGATGTTGGGTGGGGCACACCGACTTTTCATAAGATGGGGAGAGAGAAAGTCATTTTGATCGATTCTGTCTTACCTTACGGCTTTGAGCTGCTTATGTGTGATACTGACATGGTCTGGTTAAAGGTACTGTCTCAGCTAAGACAATGATCTTGATTTCACGTAGTAAAGTTTCTTGCCGCTAAATTATTCATAATTGTGCAAAAAATTTCTCGAACAGAATCCGCTTCCTTATCTTGCACGTTTTCCCGAAGCTGACGTCTTAACATCCACCGATCAAGTTTCACCTACCGTAGTTGATGACCGGTTGGATGATTGGAAACTAGGTAAAATTTTCTGTTGTATATATACATTGAAGTCTTGTATATATATATATATATATATATATATATATATATATATATATATATATATATATATATATATATATATATATAATCTAATTTGTGCTCCTTTTTGTGGGTTTTTTTTTTGACAGCTGGCGCAGCCTACAATATAGGGATTTTTCATTGGAGGCCAACTGCACCTTCGATTAAACTAGCAAGAGAATGGAAAGAATTGCTTCTCTCTGACGAAAAAATATGGGATCAAAACGGTTTTAACGACCTCGTTCGAAGGCAGCTGGGCCCACCTGTCGATGAAGACAGTGGTCTTGTCTATGCTTATGATGGAAACCTTAAAATTGGCCTTTTACCAGCAAGTATATTTTGCAGTGGACATACCTACTTCGTCCAGGTTTTTTGCAGTTTTTTTCTGTGACCAACCCTTAATTGCCACCTGTAATTTTTCCTACGGATAAAAATTAATTTATTTAATAAAAAAAATATTTATCTGTTTGGCAGGCTTTGTACCAACAGCTTAAACTAGAGCCGTATGCTGTGCATACTACATTCCAGTATGCTGGTACGGATGGAAAACGCCATAGGTTGCGCGAAGCTATGGTGTTCTACGATCCACCGGAATATTACGATGCACAAGGTTACTTTTATTGTCTTTTTTTTTTCTTTCCATTTTTTTATAATAATTGTTCCGTCGGTTGCTAATTTCTCGAGACAATCATATGCAGGGGGATTTCTAACATTTAAACCCAGTATACCGAAGAATTTGATGTTAGAAGGGGCGCACAACGTAGATTCGCACTTTGCTCTTGTTAATTACCAAGTATGTGAATTTAATTTTTTTTCTTTCTACGTTTTTTTTGTTAGTGGGAATTAAGAAACATGTGTTACTTAGCTAACAAATGAACAATGATTCTTCAGATGAAGCAGATACGTACCGCACTTGCCATCGCTTCATTATTAGGTCGCACGTTGGTAATAACTGCTTTCGTCTTTCACATTTTAAATCATGTACACTTTGGTCTCGATATAAATTGTTATTTTCATTTTTATATTTAAACCATGAAGTTTTTTATTTTTTTTTTGTTAATTTTGTGATATTTGTTCTTATTTGTGATTAGGTTATGCCTCCACTATGGTGCAGGTTGGACAGGCTGTGGTTTGGACACCCGGGAATTTTGCCCGGCACTTTGACTAGGCAGCCATTTGTTTGTCCGTTGGATCACGTCTTTGAGGTATCGACAATCTTTCTTGAAATTAATTTTATTTTCTTATATCTGCATTTATTTTTATTTTTTTTCATTTGAGAAGCTATAATATTATTTCTTAATATTATGTAATGACCTTGATGTAGTAGAAAACACAATTTATTGCATAAAATAAACTTTAATCAAGAAAATTAAGAAATCATGTGAAAAACAAAGGCCGTTTCTCGAGTTTAACATTTCACTATATTTTGGTGAAAAGCTAAAGTTTACGATGTTTTTCAAAATTGTATCTTTTCATTTAAATTTGTAAAAGACATGCAAGTTAAATAATTACGTAAACCTCCCCTATTGTTTAGTTTAAATACCGATGTAGTCCCTCATGTTAATATTCGTGATGCAGATTCATTTAATGTTAAAAGATCTCCCTGAGGAGGAATTTGGACCGGGGATTAATATTAGGGAGTATTCATTATTCGACAATCCAGCTATGTCTCAGCAGGTTAATTTTCAAAACTCGTGCAGAAAAAAGAAGAATTTTTTAGAAGATTTAATAAAAATAATAATAATATTAATTTGACTTTTATTCTTTGATTTAGGTGAAAGATTCTTGGCTCGATGTGCATCTTTGTGTACCAGGATCGAAAGGTTGTGAACTTTCGAACGGTACAACTCAAGCGGGAATTCTCAAGCTCCCTAAACGGAGTACAGAAGAAACGGTAATATTTCATAGTTTTGGATATTCGGATTTTTTTTAATTCAAATTCAAATTACGTCATTAACTTTTGCTCGTTCGAAACAGTTCAAAACCATATTCTCGTCATTCAAGGATAAGAAAGTCATTCAGTTCTCATCAATGCAAGAAGCCTTCTTAGGATTCACCGACAAGGTACTAATTATTATTATTATTATTATTATTTACTTTTTTAAATTCTTTTTTTTTTTTTTGCTTCGTCGTACTAAAATACGTATTTGTTGTACTGATCAGAAAAGAGAAGAAAAATTCCGAAAGCGTGTGAAAATCTACCCAGGCATTTGGTGCTGTGTGGAAAATAAAACACCGGGGCATATATACTACGATATGTATTGGGATGAAAAACCCGGTTGGAAAGCATTACCTCCACAGACTCCGGAAGAGGATCACCCGCCTTTTTGATTTAATTTTATTATTATTATTGGCGAAAATGCTAATTATAATATTCTAAAACGGGACGAGATAAAGTAATCTCGAAAATGGAGGAGAAGAAAGGTTAAAGCGGCAAAAAACGCTGATTGGATACATAACTAAGTTGTTCTAACACATGTTGTTCATGTTTAATGAGAGGTGTTGTGTTTTGTAAGAATTATATGCTCTTAAATCTATAGACAGATCACAGGAATTTTTGCCTTTTTTTTTTTTGATATATATATAATTTATAATTTATTTATAGGCTAGTGTTGAAGCTTTTGTGTACACTGGTTCAATTGTTCAAATAATAAAGATTTTGTTATTTTGTCGGGAAATAAGGAGGCGTCGTTTGGTTGGGGAGATTAACTGTGATTAACTAAGTAATATGATTTTGTTTGATGTTCGGTATCACAGATAATTTGTCGTGATTAACTAAGTAATATGATTTTGTTTGATGTTCGGTATCACAGATAATTTGTCGGGTTGACCCGCAAATATTATATTATTATGGTTTATCATGCTTTCTAGGTATGTTTTTTTAATCTTGGCTACTCTTAGCTTGGCTACCAAACGAGGCCTAAGTATTATATCCATGAAAATCAGACTGAACGGATAGATCATTCAATAGGATTGGGTCCCCAAAATTGAAATTGGGCATATCTTGTTACTCTTCTACACTTCTACCATTTATTACACACACTAAAAGTCTAAAACACACACACACACACTAAAACACACACAGACACACACACACACAAATAGTACAAATGTTGTTTGCAAAGTGAATTTGGCAGTAACGCACAACAGGCAATGTTCTGTCCTAAATTGCATACCAAATTTACCCTTCACAGGCCATCGTTTCTTGCCGCCATTTTTGTCAACAGTTCATCAGTTTCTCCACCGTTCTTCCATTTCTCTCCAATCAAAAACTCATCGATTCTCCAATTCTCTCTCCATTATTCATCCACCCTTCTTCAAGAATTCACCACGTACACCGTTCAACAACCGAACAATGCATCCCATATTACCTCAAGAACTCGCGCAGAGTTTCCCCACGCACCCCACTCGCTCGACGAAGTGCCTCACAGAAGATATCAAAGTTCCGAACACACCCTCTTACGGGACGTGTTCAAGATTCTCCAGCTCGTCATGCGAGAACCGAGCATCTCAAACGCCGCGATGGTGCACGCGTTGGCTGCGAAACAAGGCGCTCTCGGAGATTTGTACGTCGCCACTTCTCTCGTCACTGTTTACTCAAGAAGCAAGGCGCTTACCTCATCAATAGCTTTGTTCGGTGAAGTTGTTGACAGAGATATTGTTTTATGGAATGCTATGATGAGTGCATGCACAGAGAATCGAGCTTTTCGAGCCGCAATCGATTTGTTCACGAAAATGGTGAACCAGGGGAATGGTTTTGACCCCACCACTCTCGTTATAGTAATATCCGCTTTTTCCGATTTGAAAAATCTTCGACAAGGTCAGATTATTCATGGGATGAGCATTACAGCAGGGATGCTTTCGGACACAGTCTTGAGCAACTCTCTGATCGATATGTATTCAAAATGCGGCAACTTGACTTCGTCGGAGCGTATGTTCTCATCGGTGGAATTTAAAGACATTGTCACATGGAATTCGATAATCAGTGGCTGTTTCTACAACAGCCATCCTTACAAGTCCCTGTTATATTTCAGACACATGGCTTCGCTCGAGAATCGAGCCGACCACATGAGTATTTCTTGCGCAATGGCGGCTTGTACTTCTCTGCAAGAGTTCGACATCGGCTTGGCCATCCATGGATGGGGAATCAAATTGGGATATTCCGAGAGCAGCTACGCTTCGGTTTCCAACTCTCTTATTTCGTTCTATTTTCAACTTAAAGATATAGACGCGATAGAGTCAGTTTTTAATGGAATGGCGGTGAAAAATGTGGTGTCTTGGAATACGATGATTAAGGGGTTTTTCTTGATCGGTGAAGCCGAAGAAGCGTTTATTCTTTTACGTGATATGCAGTTTGCGGCACTTATACAACCAGATATTGCAACTATGGTTACCGTGATTCCGTTCTGTGCTGAATTAGTGCTTCCACGAGAAGGAAAAGCTGCACACGGATTTATTGTGCGAAGAGAAATGGCTTCGGAATTATCGGTTGTGAATTGTCTAATTAATATGTATTCAAAATGCAGTAATATCGAAAAAGCAGAGTATTTATTCTCCACCATGCCGAAGAAAGACTCGGTAGCGTGGAATACTATGATATTCGGGTATGCCTACAACGGGCAATCTTTGGAAGCTCGTATTTTATTCAAGAAAATGACGGGTTTTTGTAAAAATTGCACCTTGCCGACTCTATTGGCTATTGTTCCATCTTGTGATTCTCCGGATTCGATTCGATTCGGAAGATCGATTCATGGTTGGGGAATAAAATTGGGATTTACGAGCCAGCTTTTCGCTCTAAATTCACTCATCCACATGTACATTAATTGTGATGCTCCATCGGATGCTTTTGCGTTGTTCGAGAGTATTTCGACCAGAGTCGATGTGACTAGTTGGAACACTATAATTGTTGGATGCACTCAGAAAGGCCATTTCTCCGAAGCTTTACGATATTTCGACTCGATGAGAAAAGCATCGCAAATCCGATTCAATCCCGTAACTCTTGTAAGTGTTTTATCATCTTGTGGGAATCTCGGTTTATCATTACAAGGAAAAATAACTCACGGGCTTGCTCTCAAAACCGGAATGTCCAGTCACACGCGCGTGCAGAATTCGCTAGTGACTATGTACGGAAGACTAGGCGATTCCGAGAGCGCCACGTCAGCGTTCCACCTCAGCGAAGACCGCAACCTATGTTCTTGGAACTGCGCGATATCCGCCATGTCGCAAAACGAGGATGCGAGAAGAGCGTTGGAATTATTCCGTTCGCTCGATTTCGAGCCGAACGAGATCACAGTGTCCACGGTTCTTTCTGCGTGCAGCCATCTTGGAGCGGTGAGTGTAGGGAAGCAAATACACGCGCATGTATTTAGATTCCGTTTCGAACGGAATATTTATATATCGGCTGCACTCATTGATATGTACAGCAACTGCGGAAGATTGGAAGTTGCAGAACGGGTTTTCCGAAGCTCGCCGAATAAGTCGGTTTCCGCATGGAATTCGTTAATAATGGCGTACGGGTCCCACAGCATGGGTTCGAAGGCTATCGAGACTTTCGAAGCGATGGTGGGGCTCGGTATTCGTCCGACAGGTGGCACTTTCACGAGCCTTCTCTCGGCTTGCAGCCATGCAGGGATGGTTGAAGAAGGTCGATTGTACTACGAGTGTATGCTGAAGGAGTACGGAGTGGTGCCTTGTGTCGAGCACCGTGTGTGTATGGTGGATATTCTGGGACGTTCCGGAAGGATCCGGGAGGCGTATGATTTTGTCCGGGAGCTTCCGGAAGGAGGCGAGGAGGCGGGGGTGTGGGGGGCGCTTTTGAGCGCGTGTGGGTATTATGGAGAAGTTGAGATTGGGAGAGAAGTTGCAGAGGTGCTGTTTGGATTGGAACCTGAAAATGTGAGTTATTATGTGGCTTTGTGTAATATGTATGTTGCTGTCGGAAAATGGGAGGAAGCTGTTGAGTTGAGAAGTAGAATACAGGATAAACAGTTGAAGAAACAGGTTGGTTTTAGTTTTATTGATGTTGGTTTGAGGTGAATAATGTAATAAAAAATAATTATTTTTTAATATTTTTGATTTCAATTTTTTTTATTTTTTTTTTAATCTAGACATCATTTCATGAATGGTTGAGTAAAATTAGCGAAAATCGCATACTATAGCACACGTATTTTCGTAAAAATCGACGAAATGCTCAAATATATTTTTTTAATATTTTTTAACAATAAATATTTAGTATGAAATATGTTTATTCATTATTAGTCAAGAAATAGTTCACCAAAAAAATTGTTTCACTATTTTTGGCTAATCGAGCAAAATTAGAAGAAATTGTATGCTAAATAGTACACGTTTTTTGCTAAAAATTGTTAAAATTTCCAAATCTTTTATTACTATTTTTTTACACGCAAATATATACTATAGAAGATTCTTATCCATAATTAGTCGAGAAATATTTTGTCTAAAAATTGTTTCACTAATTTTAAACAATCGAGCAAAATCATCGAAAATCGCATATCATAGTACACGTACTTTGGTAAAAAACGACGAAATGTTCAAATATTTTTTAACAATAAAGATTTAATATGAAATATGTTTATTCATTATTAGTGAAGAAATAGTTCACCAAAAAATTGTTTTAACTATTTTTGGCTAATCGAGCAAAATTACAAGAAATTGTATACTATAGCACACGTTTTTTGGTAAAAAATGTTGAAATTTTCAAATCTTTTATTACTATTTTTTAACACTCAAATATATAACATAGAAGAAGTTTATCCATAATTAGTCAAGAAATATTTTTTCTAAAAACTGTTTCACTAATTTCGAACAATTGAGGAAAATCATCAAAAATCGCATACTATAGTACACATATTTTGGTAAAAATCGACGAAATATTCAAATATTTTTTTTAATATTTTTTTACAATAAAAATTTAGTATGAAACATGTTTATTCATTATTAGTCAAGAAATAGTTGACCAAAAAACTGGTACACTATTTTTGGCTAATCGAGCAAAATTACAAGAAATCGTATACTTAGCACGCATTTTTTGCTAAAAATTGTTGAAATTTCCAAATCTTTTATTACTATTTTTAACACTCAAATATATAATATAGAAGATGTATATCCATAGTTAGTCAAGAAATATTTTGTCTAAAAATTGTTTCACTAATTCTGAACAGTCGAGCAAAATCATCAAAAATCGCTTACTATAGTACACGTATTTCGGTAAAAATCGACGAAATGTTCAAATATTTTTTTTGATATTTTTTAACAATAAATATTTAGTATGAAATATGTTTATTCATTATTAGTCAAGAAATAGCTCATCAAATAATTGTTTCACTATTTTTGGCTAATCGAGCAAAATTACAAGAAATCCTATACTATATAGCACACCTTTTTTGCAAAAAAATGTTGAAATTTCTAAATCTGTTATTACTATTTTTTAACATTCATTTATATCCTATAGAAGATGTTTATCCATAATTAGTCGAATAATATTTTGTCTAAAAATTGTAATTTTGACCAATCGAGCAAAATCATCAAAAATCGCATACTGTAGTACACGTGTTTTGGTAAAAAATCGACGAAATGTTCAAATATTTTTTAACAATAAATATTTAGTATGAAATGTTTTTTATTCATTATTTGTCAAGAAATAGCTCATCAAATAATTGTTTCACTATTTTTGACTAATCGAGCAAAATTACAAGAAATCCTATACTATCACACGTTTTTTGCTAAAAATGTTGAAATTTCCAAATCTTTTATTACTATGTTTAACACTCAAATATCTACTGTAGAAGATGTTTATCCATAATTAGTCGAGAAATATTTTGTCTAAAAATTGTTTCACTAATTTTGAACAATTGAGCAAAATCATCAAAAATCGCATATTATAATACACGTGTTTTGGTAAAAATCGATGAAATGTTCAAATATTTTTTTAATAATTTTTAACAATAAATCTTTAGTATGAAATATGTTTATTCATTATTATTCAAGAAATAGCTCATCAAATAGCTGTTTCACTATTTTTGGCTAATCGAGCAAAATTACAAGAAATCCTATACTATAGCACACGTCTTTTGCTAAAAATTGTTGAAATTTCCAATTTTTTTATTACTAATTTTAACGCTCAAATATATACTGTAGAAGATGTTTATCCATAATTAGTCGAGAAATATTTGTCTAAAAATTGTTTCCATAATTTTGAACATTTGAGCAAAATTATAAAAAATCGCATACTAATACACGTGTTTTGGTAAAAATAGACGAAATGTTCAAATATTTTTTTAATATTTTTTAACAATAAATATTTAGTATGAAATATGTTTATTCATTATTAGTCAAGAAATAGCTCATCAAATAATTGTTTCACTATTTTTGGCTAATCGAACAAAATTACAAGAAATCATATACTATAGCACACCTTTTTTTCTAAAAATTGTTGAAATTTCTAAATCTTTTATGACTACTTTTTAACACTCAAGAATATATACCAGGGTAAATTACGGCCACCGCCTGAGTTATGCTCAAATTACAAAAACCCCCCTCATATTTTGTCTAAACATTGTTTCACTAATTAAGTAAGAAAAAAAACAAAGAATAACTCCGATCCATCACGTCCAATTTTTGCCCTAATCCCTCCCCTCCCACCAGAACGATAGAGTTGCATACAATTTGCATTCGGACCAAAAAGTGAAATACAGTTGTATAAAAATATTCATATAAATCAAATTGTTCCAAATAATGCTAAAAGGTTAAAATGCTCATAGTAAAAAACCAAAAAACATCATCTTAAATGGTCAAAACTGGTGAAAGAAAAATAAAATAATTCAGAGAGGAGCTAACCAGCAAGCTTAGCTACTAAAAAAAAAGAAAAAAAATCGATATGCCGCAGGTGATTACTCGATCATGTAAACCCACTCCCACATTTCACCAAATTCAAAACCCTCGAACAAGTCGAAACACTTTTTTCATCATTAACAAATTGCAACTAAGGCAAGGGTAGTATTAGCGTCTTTCGATTGACCAAGGAGTAGCATTTATGATAGTCACGTTTAGTCATCCAAATAATAATACGATCCAGCATTCTTCTGCTCCCGATCCTTGGTCGAGTCCAGCTTGTTGATTCGCGGACGGAAATTCGTGGGGTCCCTTCTGAATGTGATATCCAGATGCTACATAAATATCGATGAAATGCATTAGTAACGAGATTTTATGACGTATCGGAATTATATTAGAAGTAAAAGAAAAATAGTATATTGACTGACAGATAAGAAGAGATTCATTCCGGTCAAAAGGGATTGAGGTGCATTCGCTGTACAATCAATTGATGGCTTCCCCTCGTAAACAATCACTCGATCAGCAAGGTATGTTGCCATGATGAAATCATGCTCGACAATGAAAGCAGTCTTTTTTGCATGAAGTATAAATCTCTTTATGACTTTTGAGGCCACAATCCTCTGCTCCGAGTCCAGATATGCACTCGGTTCGTCTATTAAATATATGTCCGCAGGCTGAAAACCACACCAAAAAAATGACAAATCGGATATCAGCAAATATCCAACACACTTAACTATTATTTCATCCATTGAGTCTTCTTTGTGTTGGTCGTAATAACTGAAAAGAAAACGATAAAAACTGTATGAACTGAAAAACTAACCTTTCCAAGACAGAGGGTAAGGGCAACTCTTTGCAATTCACCACCAGAAAGATTGACAACTTCTTGATCCATCAGTTGCTCAATTAAGAGAGGCTTCATCACATCCGACACGAACTGAGGATGCATATACGAATCACGGATTTTTTGATGCAATAGCATTCTAACTGTGTGCTGAAATTTAGGACTGATTTTCTGCGGCTTGTAAGACACATTGAATTCAGGTATTTCAATATCAGATCCTTCTACTGAATCAGGCTTCAAAAGACCAGCCTACATATAAAAAAGGAGAGCAATATTAGCATCCAACAACAAACAGATGATCCGTTTCGAGTATAGACGTAATAAAAAAAAAATAATAATAAATAAAACATACCAGCATACGTATAAATGTTGTCTTCCCCGTCCCATTTTCACCGAGCATCACAACTATTTGTGAATCAGTAAACTCACCCTCCATGACCTTAAGCTTGAAATTGCCTTGAGTTTTAGTCATGGTAGGATAACGATATCTTGCATAAGTTTCAATTTCCTCGGCACTTTCTTGAGGTGTTTCCGCAACCTGAAGGGAGAAGTGCATTAATAACAATTGGCGTCTCAATAACCATAAAAATAATAAATAAATAAATAAAAGTTGACAGTGGCAGAAACAGAATTACTTTGAATGTAAGAGATTCATCCCGAAATCTTAGATTCTCAGTTGGGACAAATCCAGCCAGAAATATATTAATTCCTTCTCTGACGGAGAATGGAAGGGTTACCACCCCATATACCCCCGGTTTCCCATAAAGGCAGCAGATGAAGTCCGATAAATAATCAAGCACACTAAGATCATGCTCTACAACGATCACGTAACTGAAAATAAAAACATTAACCATGTCAAACCTCACGGAAATAAATCTTATAGCCCCAAGTACTAAAGATAGTTGACTTCAAAACATCATATACCTAGTAGGCCGAAGCAAGGATCTGATGACTTGAGCAGCCTTGAGCCTCTGTCGCACATCAAGATAACTAGAGGGCTCGTCAAACATATAGATCTCTGCATTCTGGACAGCAACAACAGCTATAGCAAATCTCTGCAGCTCTCCACCAGATAAATCACCCACATTACGGTCCATGACCTGATTCAACTCAAGATCAAAGCAAATTTCTTCTTTTATATCTCTCTCATCTTTCTGAGAAAGAACTTGCCCGACATTGCCTTGCACGGCTTTGGGAATGTGATCAACATACTGGGGTTTGATGATTGCCTGGAAACAAAAGCACCACGCATATATGTTAATTATTTAACAGACCACCATCAATTAGTCGAAAGAAATTTCAGGCATGTCAAATAGCAAAGCTAATTAGATAGTTCGTATTTAATAGATGATCAGACAGCTAATTATGAAATGATTTTAGCGTGATAAGAAAAAAAAAATACATATGGCCATGTTCAATTCAACATGATACCAAAAGAAATATAGCCACAAACCCAACAAGCTTATCCTCAGTAAAAAAACTTTTCACGGAAAGTTTTCCAATTCTTGTCTAAAGAGTGCAATAGAAGAACAATTTTTGAAACCATTAATTGAAACCTCGTACTGATAGATACATCTTATCATGCTATCCTTAATCCTCAAATCTGGAGCTAGTTGAGAGAAAGACCAGGACATACAACGTTGATCATTGGGGTTTTTCTGATTTTATAATTCCTACAATATTCTAGGAGAAAAAGTTGACGTTGCTGCTGTATGCTGGACAAAAATTATTGAACAATTTCTAAAATCAACTAGCGATCCCGATGTACCCGCAAAACTTTCTACAAGGCATAGGCTAAACTTTCCAGCAACATGCTATTTGACAATCTTTTGTAGAGATGGCCAAGTAAGTTTAAAAGCAAAAAGAAAAATCTTATAATCTGCTTACACAACTAAAATCATTATCAAATTCATGAAGTATGCTAAAAGAAAAGGCGAACCGAAAACGAATAGCAAGGTTCTCTAAATCACAGCAACTAACTATTTATCAGACTTACTTTCAAATTATCTTCAAGTATACGGGTAAAGTAATTTTGCAGCTCAGATCCTCGAAAGTTGGTCAAAATTTCCTGCCAATCAGGAGGACTCTGCACGGAAGAAAAAAATATTTTAAAGAAACACTAAGATAGATCAACCTTGGGGACATTATAACGAGGCCAAACAAGATTACCTTAAATTTTCCCAAGTTAGGTTTCAATTTCCCGGCCAAGACTTTAAGTGCAGTCGATTTTCCAATGCCATTAGTTCCAACCAAGCCAAGAACTTGTCCAGGTCTTGGAACAGGTAATCTGCAAGAAAAATTGACTGATCATTAGAAAGCAAAAAATAGACAAAACCTATTGACTACGAAAATTTCACTCGTATCCAACCTATGCAACTTAAAGGTGTTAGGACCATAACGATGGGTTGTATCCTTTTCCAAGTCCTTAGGCAGATTGATAATCTGGATTGCTTCAAATGGGCATTTCTGAAGAAGCATGTCAGACAACAGTACGTAAGGAAAATGGTGTTAATTCAACAATCAGCAAATAAAGGTTGTACTTTTTTTTTCTCATTTGGACAAACCTTCACACAGATACCACATCCAATACACAATTCCTCTGAGATGAAAGCAATCTTGGACAAAGGAGTCACCTCAATGCAAAGTTTACCTGGAAAGATACAACAGTATAGATAAGAGTTCATATCTTCATGCAGATACTAAATCCATGAAGACACAAAAATAAATTGGAAAGACAAAAAAAAATCTTCTGCATTGTACAACTAAAAAGCCCGATAATCATAGGTCCACGTGACGCCAAATTATATTATTGAAATGAATTAATTCAAATAACATATTTGTCACGCAATTTCTGATTTATGGTTTTTTTCAATTTGATAGAGCAATCACACATACAAAATAAGCGTACTCACAAAATCGAGACCCGAGAAAAATGTTCTAGATGTAAATTGTCATGATGCCTAATTAAAAATGTGATCTTTTGTTTAAGAAAGTACAAGCATAAATCACCCACGTAACAGAATCCAGGATACAGATTGGAACCCTAGAAAAAATCCTCATTATCAATGCGCAAAATAAAAGATAAAAAAAACCATCACAAAATTTGAGGTAAATTACCTGTTCTGACAACAGGACAACTCTTTTTGCACTCCTGACGACATTTTTTGGGCTTGCACTTGTCGGAACTCACTATAGCGATACGCGTCAACTTCTCCGACATCTCTCTCGATTCAACTGATAACAATCGAGAAAAATCAAAATCAAAATCAAAATCAGAACCCTAACCCTAACCCTAACCCTTGTTTCGATTTAATTAATTCGATTTAATTAATAAATATATGAGAAAAAAGAAAGAGGCGTTACCTGCGGATGAGAGAGAGAGAGAGAGAGATGGGGCGGTGACGATACAAACGTTAGATACACGCAGAACAAAAAAAAAACTGGTAAGGAGTGCTGCTAGGGTTCCAAGGAAAAGGCGCTTTTTTATTTTTATTTTTCTTTTATTTATTTATTTATATTTATACCTTAGTGTAAATTTTTCTCAACTCACGTGTTATACACACGCCCGGCCCTTTTACTCCACTGAGTCCACCATATCAAAACCACTTCTTTTATTAGAGCAACTCCAATGGAGGCATTAAATGAGGTATCAAATTAAAAAACTACCACTTTGATGCTCTAAAATTAAAAAATCCTCCTCCAATGGAGGCATTAAATGGAGAATTATTTTGATACTCAACCACCCCGAGGTGCAAAAATACTCCCTGGAAAATGAGGTATCAAAAATATAACCACCCAATTAACCTATCACTATTTGACACGTGGCATTTAAAAATATAATTATTCATATAATTAAAATTTGATAATCTATTTGATACTTGCGGTTGGAGTGCATTTTTTTCCAGGAAGTATCAAAGTATTATATCAAGTATCAAATGAATATTTAATGCTCCATTTTGATATCTCCCATTGGAGTTGCTCTTATTTATTATTTTTATTTTATTTTTACCTATTAGTGTTTTTCACAAAAAATAATTTTCAACATAACTTAAATCATTAAAATTGGATTTATTAAATTGTGTGGTGGTCTTTTTTATCATGAATTAATTTGAATCTCCTAATTGCAAATATTAAAATTGTGTAGCTTGATTCAGCCCGATCGAAACTAAAATGAGAAGATTATGGTAAAAAAAAAAAAAAAAAAAAAAAAAAAAAATTAAATTAAAAAACCCTACCCCCAACACTATAAATACAGGAAAACCCTGCTGTCAATTTCATAATATAATATATATATTGAACAAGGCTTTTCTTTTTTCCCATTACCGTATTTATTATTATTTCCATCCAATAATTAAGGTTTTTATTCTGTACATCATCTTTTTTCTTATTTGAATTTCAATTGTGCTTTCGTTTATGATCGATTTAAGGGTGGATTTATTGCATTATTTCATATGTTGTATTTTTTTCACATTAATTTTATACACTTTTGTTGTTCAATATTCATATTTTACAAGATACACTAGGTTTCGAGCATTGGATTATTATTAGCCTTATCTTTGATAAAAAAATAAATATATTTATATTAATTTTTGAACAGGATCGAAAATGTGTCAAAATTCACTCGAGGATCGCGTTCGCCACGTCATGAAGTTGATGGAATCATTCAAAAGGGAAATGGGTAGGGCAATCGGGCATTCGCCCATGCAAGCCATACTAAACCACCCGTACCCTCCGCGGTCTCGTATTCCAATCCCGCACGAATTTCAAAACCACGACGATAAGGCTCTCGTAAGGTTGTGGCCTGAAATAGAGCGACGCATTTTAGAGTGGCGTAAGATTGTTTACCTGTTTGCCTACGTGAGTAGGGCCCACATCGTAGCCGAGACTCCTTGTTTGGAGAGAATTGCAATTGGTTACGAGATACTTAGGCCTAATTACGAGGCCGATTCATCACCTCAAGTACAAGCACTATTGCGAGGCGCTAAGGCCCTCATTGAACAAGCTAAGATTTCCAACGAACTAGCGTGTGCTTACGAGGATCAAGCCATGGCTTATGCTCTAGAAAATAACGACGTCCATTCTAGGGGTACGTACCTTAAATATACATATATATATACATACATACATACATACACCTTATATTGATTGATTGATTATCTGATCAATGCATGCATTTTTTTTCGTTTTGTTGTTTTTTTTTCTTGTGTACGTACTAGAATGGTATGAGAAGCATGCGAGTAGGTATTTGCCAAGCCCTTTTGTCATGATGGAAAATATGCAACATTTGCCGTCGGAGATTCTGATTATCGCATTCCCGGATATGGATGTGGGGCCGCAACGCATGTTTCACCACAAAGAAGACGATATGGACCCTTACGCAATTATGACAATAAGGAGGGCGTTGTTCAATATTTTGCCGTTTTAATGGTTCGTTTAGCTTCTAATATTGGACTTGATTTTCGTCGTTTTTGTTATTTAATTTAGTGACGGAATTATTATTTATTTGATCAGATTCTTGTTTGTTAATTGGGCCATAAGAGTAAAAACCTTAGACCCATCAGTTTCACAATAATTTTACTTTGGATTGCTTAATTTAGGCCTCATTTGGTTGGTGAGGTTAGTTATTACTATCTACATAGTTGGATATTTAGTATCCTGAATAACTTACCGGATCTGGATCGATACTTGGTATCCTGAGTAACTCACTGGATCGACCCGCAAATATTATATTATCATTGGTATCCTGAGTAACTCACTGGATCGACCCGCAAATATTATATTATCATGATTCTTTAACTATTACAATATAATTTCTGACTATAATCCAAATCAACTATCAGAATTATTAATATACTAAAATTGAAGATTTTATTTATTAGATTTCCAATCCCTTGTAACTATAATAATTGATCTAACTAACTGCTAAATTTACCGAATAAATTATATTATAACAACTCAATTTCACAAAATTTGGTAGCAAATTCACGAATCAAATTAGCAAAAACCCGATTATAAAAGATTGACTTCGTTTTGGAAAAAAATATTTATATTTGAATAAACACAAAAATTAATTGTGCAAAAATATTTCAGTCATGCAACAAAAGCCTTTGCTATAAGACAAGAGATACATATATATAACCACAAGTGTGTTTACCTCTTCAAACTACCAACCATAACTAGTAACTGCAATACAATGCATATATATAATATATAATATATATATATAAAAGACAGACATCCCAGATGAATGAATGCCTGCCTATTCACACAACATTACTTATGTTCATTCAAAGCAAAAAGAGAAACAAGCATTACAGCAAAACCGCACATCGGCTTGCCCTTTGATTTAAAAATCCACGACTAAGTCATCGAATTTATTACGTAGAAATAACGAAAATGTAAAGATTACTTCCACTTCTTGAATTTGCCGCCACCTCCAAACATTCCATGCTTTCCTCCCTTGTGCTTACCATGCTTGAACTTTCCATGCTTCATCTTTCCATGGCCATAACCACCGGCGGCATGACCATACATTCCGCCGCCATGGCCGTATTGACCACCGGCATGGCCGTACTGACCACCGGCATGGCCGTGGCTACCGTGCATCAAGTGTGAGGCACCATAGGCGGCAGCTGCTGCCGCCGCACCTCCTGCTAGCAATCCCCCTACACCGACTGAAAAAGGGCAAACTACTTAGCCACAAATACAAACATTTATTCTATACCCATAAAAAAAGGGCAAGTGTTAACTAAGATACAAACAAGGCCAACAATTTGATACACTGTTCTCTTCATTCATTAGTGCAGGTTTAGATTTACATCGACAAAGTAGTTGCATCTCAAAGAAGCAAGAAACAATTTCAGAACAAGAACTAAATCCATAAAAGGAATTGTGTCGATACTCAAACAATCCAAACAATACCATGTTCACCAATCACATACGTCAAACTAAATGAGGAAATTTTCTCATCTAAGATTTCGAGTCACCTCAAAATGCACTACTTCCGCCAACTTTTAACAAAATCATCAACCCCATAAATTTCCCCGTTTCTTTTCGAGGGTAATTTACCCGCAAATTCCATAGTGTGATGAAAGACAATGCATGCAGAGAATGTAATATACATACTATACTAACAGTCTAAACTAATATGTCATGTTCAAGAAAAAAAGTACCAGGCAAAAAAAAGTTAAGAGGAATTATACCTCCATGATGACCACCAGGCGCTGGGGGGTAGCCATGCTGAGGGGGGTACCCTTGTTGTGGAGGATAGCCTGCTGGAGGGTACCCTTGCTGCGGGGGATAGCCTGCTGGTGGGTACCCTTGTTGTGGGGGGTACCCAGATGGTGGATACCCTTGTTGTGGAGGGTAGCCTCCGGGTGCCGGAGGGTACTGTCCCGGTGGGTATCCCTGTGGAGGATAATGCCCGTGTTGAGAGAAAAGCCCTTTGTCGGATTCATCATGCCCGTCTTTCCCACCTCCCATTTTTTCTAATCTCAGTTGATGCAATCAATCACCTGAAAGAGCATCAATCGCGCATAAAGGTAAGTCACGATATATGAAAACAATGACAGCAAAGCACATTCACTATTATATATACATATCAAATATATATATTCAGTTCGTTCGATTAGCGTCCGATTTCAAAAAACATATAGAAAAAGACACGGATTGAATCAGTTAATGTATTTCCCCCAATTAGATAGATGCATTGTAAAACCTATTTTCAGGGAAACATTCAACATTTTCGACCAACAGCGACAACTTTCCGAATCCGAAGATCTCGGCCTTTGCGAGAGAGAATCAAACAATGCATTAAATATATAGCAAAAGAACAACAGGTAATATAGTTTTGCGCAATTTACAACTCAGAAGATTGTTTCATTTTTCATTTTTTAAATTATTCTCTTTAAAGACAGAAAATAAGAACAGATCCAACAAAATGATCAGAGATCCAACAAATTCAAACCAAAAAAATCCATGAAATCCACAAAATCATCGTCCGATTTACAGCAAAATAATGAAACAACCGACGACATATTTCTAAATCTCATTAAAAAATCTCACAGCCAGGAAATCGAAAAATCTACAAACTGATCATCGTAATTCATAACCACGTAAAAGTCGAATCAATTTTCCCCAATTAAAAAAAAAAAACCTAATTCTCGATCCAAGATCAATATAGAACGCCATTACACTTACAAATAAATAACTAACAGATCAGCAAAATTCAACGATCAAACACACACAACGCATCCAGGTATCTATCATGCAACAAATACAACTGCAACAA